ATCTACCCCTCGCTTCCTCACCTCCCTTCCTGCCTTGGTCATCTTTGCACCACTAACCATAGCCACCACTTCATGCATCTATAGAATATAATTGAGGAGCTCCACTCAGGACATGGCTGGAAAAACTCTATGAAGCAATCATTATTGCCACAATAATTCTGCAGCATTAGTTTCAATACTTTCTCAAATATCTAGGTTCACAGAGACTCCATCCTTCCAATTGCTTACACTTAAAAGTTTTCATCATCAATCATTTTTTTCCTTCATATCTCATACCCAATCCCTGAGATTTTGTGCTCTCTAACATATCCAGAATCTGACCATTACCACTGCTGTTACCACTCTGGTCTGGTGTAAACAATTATCATCTCTCTCTTGTATTCCACAATAACCTCTAAGTGGTCATCCTGATTTGCCTTTACCCCCACTAAGAACTCTTCCCCCTGCCCCCAGCAGCTGTATCATCATGCCCCTGATTTGCTTCAGATCTTGCAATTGACTCTCTACTCAGAGTAAAAGCTAACATCACTATAATGATCTACAAAACCTGATTTAGCCCCTTAAATCTCTGTCCTCCTTTTTTGCTCATTCTTTGCCTCTCTGCTCCAGACACATCAGCCTTCCCACGGCCCCTCAGATACACAGCCATGCTCCCAGCTCTGTAGCCTCTAAAGACTGTCCCTTTGCCTACAATACTTACCCACACAGACATTTAGCTAGTTCCTATAGCCTTCAATTCTTAGCTCAATCTCAACCTCTCAAAAAGGCTTCCCTGATTCCCTGGTGCTATACTCTTCTCACCCTCTCATCCACTTGACACCCTGAGACCCCTGCCCTCCTCTACTGCTTTTTCCCATAACATTTATCCCCCTAAGACACTATTTGGTAGCTATTTCTATTTGTGAATCACTAAGATTTCTCAAGCAACTATAAAAGTCCTTGAAATATAGAAGGTGCCCTGGAAGTATCTGTTGAATAGATAAATAATGGAAAAGTGAAGACTTTTGACATAGATGTTCAAGTGATATCCATAAAAGTTGATGTTTTTGCTTTCCAGCAAATCATGTAGGCTGCTGGTTTGCTTTCTCTTAACATGTTTGTCCAACCCAAACCACACTCCTTGTTTCACAACAAATGGTCAATAGTTGCAACTTATCTAAGAGTCATGAGGAAACCAAGTAAGAGGAAATGGTGTCGGGAAAGAGATCACCCACAGGAAGCATTTCCTTTGATTCTGTGATGGGAAGAGGGAGTAGACAAAAATCTGATCGTAACTCACACCATCCTCATGACCTCTGATCTGGGATGTTTCTTCATCAAACGCATTCACTTTAAGGTTCTTCTCTCAGATGATAAGAACCTTGCAAGTGACACTCTTTAGTTAGCAACATTTAAGGGCAAGTGCAAATTAAAGTTCTGCTGAATCTTGGGCAAGTTTCCTCTCCTGACATAAGTGGTTAAGCATCCCAGAGGAAATTTTCCATGCATTCCATATATACTATTCTTCTTGAAAAATACATCAAAGGGGCGCCTGGGTGGCTCAGTTGGTTGAGCGTTTGACTTCAGCTCAGGTCATGATCTCACCATTTGTGGGTTTGAGCCCCATGTCAGGCTCTGTGCTGACAGCTCGGAGCCTGGAGCCTGCTTCAGATTCTGTATCTCCCTCTCTCTCTGCCCCTCCCCCACTTGCTCTCTGTCTCAGTCTCTCAAAAATAAGTAAATGTTTAAAAAATTAAAAAAGAAAAATGCAGCAGACAGAGGGACTGTATAGGCAACTTCTTTTGTTTTACAAATGAAAAACCTTATGCCTCGACAGGAAGAGGGACCAGACCTACTAGATTATGTTGGAACTCTCTTGCACTGAATCCACTGAATTAAGACTGTATTCACCAACTGTCTAAGCACTCTCAGGCAGCAGAGGATAGGAGCAGAGGATGTGTGCTCAAAACCAAGTCTATAAGACTTACAGACACATGAGAGTAACTTCCTGAGGCAAGACAGAGTCTCTGGACTTTGGACTCTGGACTCTGTTTAGGTTCAATTCCTAACTCTATCTGCTTCTTTCCAGGTTAAGTTCCTTAACCTCTCTGAGTCTGTTTCCTCATTGGTAAAATGGGAAAAAATGAGACCAAAATATAAAGGTTTTTTTCCTAATTTTTTAATGTTTATTTTTGAGAGAGAGAGAGAGAGAGAGAGCAGGGGAGGGGCAGAGAGAGAGGGAGACACAGAATGTGAAGCAGGCTCCAGGCTCTGAGCTGTCAGCACAGAGCCCGATGTGGGGCTGGAACTCAAGCACTGTAATATCATGACCCAAGCCGAAACCAGATCCATAACCAACTGAGTCACCCAAGTGCCCCTAAAGTTATTTTAAATGTTACAAAAAATAAAACCTATGATGCACTTAGCAACAAGGTCTTGCTAGTGCAATTATTTCTTGAATTAGGACTCTCTGCACTCATTGCTGAAGTCTAAGTACATTAAGTCCAGAGTAGAAATGTGCCATTTTAATTTTTCCTCATTAAACTTGACTTTTCAATACTTGCTTCATTTCTCTTTGAGTCTCTGCTATGTGCTTTTAAGGTCTTGCTTCCCTGGTTTGGTGTGTTATTTCCCCTCCTTTCTGCTCATTTTGCTCATACCTCCAGCTTTGTAGGAGATGGTGCTAGTGGTGTTTTCCACGTCCACTCCCACCACTGGGGAAAGGGAAGTGCATGACAAGTTCATCCAACAAGTTTGGAGTAGATAGCTTTTCCTAAGTTTCATAATTTGACTGTATTTTTAATGGGTGGTGATTTCCTTCTTTCTATTTTAAGGATCACAAGGAAGAATTCAATTTTGATGAGTAACATGACACAGTTAAAAAAAAAAAGAAAGAACACACAGTTAAGAAAAAGAACACTCTAGATGTGGCAAATAGTAAATTATGCTACATGGGAAAATGAACTACCTAGAAACAAAAGTGGCTTACATTCAGAAATCAGCTAACATAGGACACCATATTAAGTAAGAGTTGATTAAAGAATTATAACCTTATTTTGCATCAATTTGGAGAATTCTGAGGGACTGGCCACATCTCTAAGCCCATACATAATCTGAATTATTTCCCAATTTTTTTTCTTGTTAAAACATTACATGCCTTTTTTGAATTACATATCTATTAGTCAAGCTGAAAGAAATTATGAAAAGCTTAAAATTTTGTCCCCTATGTCGGTCACCTTTTGCCACTGGCATTATCTTTTAGCAGATTAGCTAAAGAGGTTGCATTATTTGAAAGCAGTATTCAGTTTTCATCTTTTTTTGGCTGGATTTGGATTTTACTCCCATGGATAGCAAGAAAACCAAAGGTCATTCATATCTTGAATTCATGTAATATGAGGATTTTCTTCCTTCCCCTAATTTTTGTGCGTATCCATTTCCATCATCTCTTTTGAGAATTTCAGGAATTTTTATTCTGAAGTCTCTGTCCTGGACATATCTAGGGACAGTAGCAGTGGTCAGAAAATATCATTTCTCTTTCAGTTGATGTGATTTAAAAATAGTAAATTTGAAAATCACTATTCAAGTGTTATACCTCCACTTTACTCTGCATTGATCTTACTCCTTAAGAGTTTTGTATGGTCATTGAAGTTCCTGAAACTTAATGTACAGTTTTGTACATTTGGGTTTAAGTAAGCAAAGGGCATATAATTTTCACTACATTTTCAAAGGATTAAATGGCTAAAATTTTAAAAAGTTAAGAACCACTGAGGTAATACCTAAAAAGAAAGTTGATCTGTTAGCTCTTAGCACATTTAAGGTTAACTAGGCCAAACCTGTGGGACACCATTCGTGTTCACTCAGACTTCTGGAGATACTGTATGTTGTCTTTTGGACCCTCCACAGTCTGTGAAAGACACGTGATTGGAAAGAAGGAAGCGGCAGAGCCCATCAGTGAAGTCTACTCCATCCCTGGAATTTCCTGCATGCTTCTCTCCATCCCTCATCCTGCCTGTTGTTTTGTACCCCTCACCCCAGCCCAGAAGCATCCTAAGATTTGGATGGTTAATCCACCAAAGGAGGAAATTGTTGCCTGGCTGAGCTGGTTACTGTTTTATCTATCTACCACTAAATGGTGGCATGAACTAAAACTGTAGTTTCCATGCTAGATTCTTCTGAGTAGGTGTAAATAAAACAAAAGACTAATACAAACATTTTCCGTTCCTTCTGTTGATGTTGTTCTTATTGGGGGAGGTTCTGAAAAGCGGGGAATTTGTGCTTTCATCCAAGAAGTGTTTATAGAGCACCTGTTCATTGCAGGCACTGAGCCAAGATCTGGCACACAATGTAAATAAGGCAGACATGGTCTCTGACCTCGTGGAATTTCCAGCCAAGTGAGTGGGACAGATCAACAAACAATTACATAAATGGGCCGACTTCTCCTTACTTTAGCAGAATTCACCAATGCAGAGTTTGTACTCTGGACATAATGTGTCTTAAATGTTGCAACAACCCCTAATGTCAAGGTCAGGGGAAGAATTAGTTAAGGTAAAGCTCATATTATGAAACAACTTTGACACAAAGTTTTAAGTAGAGTTGTGAGAAACAACATAAAGGAATTACAACATAAGACTTGTTTTCCACTTAAGCTACTTTCTTCCATTTGCTGAGTTTCAATTTGACAAAGCTTTTTAAAAAACTAAAAACAAAAATGTTTACATTTATTCATTTTTGAGAGACAGAGAGTGAGCTAGGGAGGAGCAGAGAGAGAGGGAGGCACAGAATGCAAAGCAGGCTGCAGGCTCTGAGCTGTCAGCACAGAGCCCGACGCGGGGCTCAAACCCACAAACCCTGGGATCATGACCTGAGCTGAAGCCAGACGCTTAACTGACTGATCCATCCAGACACCTCAACTTGATATAACTTTTTAAAGTATTACATGTTTATAAAAAGCAAAAGATAAAAATAATAAAGGAAACTTTGAGAAAAGAAAACTATTCTTAAGAAATTATACCACGTTAATTCAACATTTTTATAACTTCTTTCTCTTCTGTCACTTGACTCAGTTGCTTCTGTGACTCTTGTTTACTTCAAGACATAAGCACACACATAAGTCCAGTCATTTCTAACATGGCAACTTCCCTTTCTGCCAAGTGATTTCATTTCCTATGATCTTTACTTCACACGAAAGAAACCCTAGTGACAAATAATATATAACTGTTACGTCAAAGATATATTTTATTGTAAACATTGCAATACACAATCTAGATGGCTTTAATATAAATCTAACAAAGAAAATAAGTGTATAAATTTTGTTTTACAGATTTAATAAAAAATGACTATAAGTAAACATTTTTGATATAATGGAAAATATCCATTATATGATATTTTTTTTCATATTGAGGAAAGATCTCCCAAGTTCATAATAAATGCCTATTTCCACCATCAGCCTCTTCCTTCAATCCCATCCTTTAAACTTCATCTCAAAATCTCCATGGATTTGGGAGATAGAATCAGAAATGGTACTCTGTGTATATCAATAGTACTTTTAAAAAAAACCACACAAATGTAAATTGAATTATTAGTTAAAAAAAAAGAAAAGTTCTGCAAATGGAAAGGGGAAAAAAAGCAGTTAAATGTAAGCTTGAAGAGATTTGTTGTTTCCAATACATCTTTACTATTTGATGGGTAAACTTTTACAAAGCGAGGTGGTTCTCTAATCCAGGCAAAGTTAAGTGTGATTTAAGTGACAGATTAGAGGGGAAGAAAACTAACGTTCACTGAGTATCTCCTATGTGCCAGGTACCATTCTTGGCATCTTTTTGTATGAATTTCCTCACTTAACTCTCACTGGGAATGTATGGAACTGGTGTTATTCTCATTTTTCAGATGAGGAAACAAACTCAAAACGGTTAAAAAAAAAACTTCTCATGGTTGTTTGACTGGTAAGTGGTAGAACTAGGCTTGAAGGTAGGTTTGTCTTAGTTCAACACTCATGCATACACTTCAGTTTAAGTTATTCTGACTTGACATTGCTCAAAATGATTGCATTTAGCTATTTTATCTCCTAACTTGTCAAGAACAGGAAATGCCTTTTCTTTCAAGGTGGAATACTTTTGGCAGCAAGAACCATCTTTACTTAGCATTTTTACAAATTATAAACTAGAGATATTTGAACTTGGAAATGGAACTGAAATGTCCTTGAGGCACTAGAGCAGGTAAATCATGATATTAACAAAGTCAAGATAAATGTTTGTTATCTGTAAAAAGTAAAAACATGCTTTACATCTTTCAGTTAACTCTAAGTTTCATTGACTAAAATTTCAAGGGTAGATATTTTACATTTATGATTTAGCATGAATAGCGTGGTAAGTCCACTCCCTGATAAATGTTCGGCATTTGTCTATGGTTCTCTTAACCTTGAGGATTGCTGAGCTGAAATTAATTTCTTCAGAAGGAAGATTGGGAAAGGTGGCTCAGATATTAGCTGCAGCAACTGCAACACCAGCATAGGATCAACTTGCTCAAGGTCTCTCGGTTAGTAAGTGTGGGATGATTCAAACCCAAATTCAAGTCACTTAAAAGCACATTCTACTTTAGTATGTAACTACAACTTTCAGGTAGCCCTGATTCTAAAATACCTATTTGCAGTGGTCAAGGGTGTCGGGGGTGGGGGTGAGGTTGGGGGGGGGGGAAGACTAAGATAATTTAACATACCAAAACACACTCAGTTTTCCTGTGGGGAGTTTGATGAAAGAAGTTATGTATCAATGAGGAAAAGTAAATCCCATCTTTGTGTTGGTTCTTTTTTGAGCTCTTCTTTCTGTTGGATGACAGACTTGGTCCCATGGCTATGAGATCTCTGGATGCTTTTTTCTGTTTGTTAAGTGCTTCTCATGTTTCAGGAGCTGGTTGGCACTTAAATAAACAGCTCAAAGGTTGATAGATCCATGAACTTTGCATTCATCCCTAGAAGGTACCAAAATATGTATCTTTATGTGCAGCTTTACCAGTCAGTTAAAAATTTCTCTCTACTTCATTTCCTCAAACATGTTCATTAGCCCTTTTCCCCTACTCAACACTCCACTTAGTCCCACTTACCATGCGATGACTCAAAAGGATTCCTTAGAAAGAATTGATTCCACTCTACTCACTTTGTCTTTGTCCATCCTTTTGATGGAGAGAGGAGTTCAAGGCCATAATGCATCAAACTTACATTGTGAGAGATGAACAGCATTTGCAACGAGGCCATTTTGCCTTATAAATTAAAAATAAAAGACGTTTTCTCATCCATTAAAAAAAAATGAGCCTCTAGGTTAAATAGAACTCATTAGCTCAATCTCCAAGGACAATGTCAGGATGCAGTTGAGACCCCGAGGCAAAGAAGGAAGGAAATGAGGAGATGAAACAGGGAAATCAGGTACTTCTGTAAGTAGGACTCAGCAAAAGTACAAAGGCAGCCCTGAGGGAAAAGTAAAATAGAGTTTGCAAACTCTTAGATCTCTGAGCTTCTTAGCGGTGTCATTAGTATGACACCTAATCATAATGGACTGGTTCAGTGATGTCAGTTTGTCCATGTGAGAATATGTCTTCACTGAACAAGCCAGCATTACTGAGGCAGAGACTGGAAATTTTCTTTTAAAATGCAGGTCTCACTTACATATCTCATCCTGACTCTTCTTTCTTCACTCCTTACCCTCTTTTCTATACAATGCTCTACAACTTCTGAAACCCAACAGTCATATTCTCTTACATCTCATTACCTTGTAAGTACTTGCTTTCCCCTCCATTAAGAAGGCAGTCACTCCCTGTCTCCACCCTTCTGATCTTCTCATCACCTATATTAGGTCACAGTTTTGAAGCTGTTTCTTCAGAAAACCTCCATTCATCAATCAAAACTGCATCAGATGTTCTATTTATTTGCTTCCAGATCTTCCCATAATTATCTGTATGGCAACACCCATTGCTATATTGTACTTGCTTATAGAACTAATTATCTATATTCTGCACCAGACTGGAAACTCTGTGGAGTCTAAATCTTATTTATATAGTACTCACATCTTTCACTACAATACCTAGCATTAACAAATAATCAATATATAGTAAGTGAATAGATAAACAATCAAGTTCCTGAAATAGTGGAATTGAAAACAATAGGAACTATATTGATATAAAAAATATGAATAATATAATAAATTATATAAATACAATATATACTATAATAATATATAGAATATGATAAAATATGCAATATAATATATTATATATTATAAATATATATTCATATAAATATAAAGAAATATGTAGTATATATTATATAATAATGTCTTATATATTATATATAACATATAATGTTATTAAATATTATATTATATTTTATATTTACATAATATGTGAATATAATATATACATAATAAAATAAATTATATAAATATAAATAAATATAATAATAATGAAAACATTTGAAATATTGTGAGAATTATAATTATGACACAGAGACACAAAGTGAGCAAATGCTGTTAGAAAAATGGCAGTATAGAGTTTCTCTTCAAAGGGTTGTCACAAACCTATTTATAAAAAACACAGTATCTGTGAAACACAATAAAACAAAGCACAATAAAACAATGTATGCCAGTACTAGGAAACTAAGTAACCTCTTCAGAAAACACTCAAACATTACATTTCCCTCTCCACACACTCACTTGTATGGACAACTCACTGCTTTATCAAGCTTCCTGGGAAATAAGAAAGATATTGAATCAATTGAATTGTTTATAAATTGTGTACTTGACCAGAGGTGGACAGGGTTTTAGTTTTTTTCTTAGTGTCTCTTATGTGAGAAAATTTGGACTAATCTCTGAGGACTCAAGAGGGATGGAGTAAGAAACTCCATTGAGTCATAAAAAGATGGTTTTGTAGACTAGTGTTCTGAAGAAAAGCTCTATGAACTCCCCTTTGTGAATATGCTTTTAGACCTGGGCTAAAAAGAATAAGTTTTGGGACCCTCAACACCACAACTTAGATATATGAACTTGGAGACATTGTTAAGTTTTCTCTTCTGTGAAATGAGGATATTATTACTTATCCCATTGCTGTGAAACTTAATACACCCCCCCCACACACACACATATACACATGCACCCACACTCTCTCTGACATCAAGTAAATTGAAGTGATATTTAAGAAGTTAAGCTGAAGGGCACCTGGGTGGCTCAGTCAGTTAAGCGTCTGACTTTGGCTCAGGTCATGATCTCACGGTTCGTGGGTTCGAGCCCTGCATAGGGCTCTGTGCTGACAGTTAGCTCAGAGCCTGGAGCCTGTTTCAGATTCTGTGTCTCCCTCTCTCTCTGACCCTCCCCTGCTCATGCTGTCTCTCCCCCTCTCTCAGAAATAAATAAAACATTAAAAAATTTTATAAAAAAGAAAAGTTAAGCTGAGATCATTACACAAGTCTTTCAGCAAAGGAAGTTTTCTTCCCAACTCACAAGTTTTCAAATTGTGAAACATTATTATCCTTGCTTTAATTTTCAATCATTTTTTCTGTCAAAGAATTTAATTAAATCTTATATCAGTGTTTAAACTAGTTACTTCCTCCAACATTCTGGAATTCTATAGATTTTAAGACTCTCCATATTCCAGATTTTCATTTGAAAGAGCAACTTGAATGCTAATACAGTCAGATTTTTATCTGGAGTTTTAATTTTTGGCAAACCGTAACCGGAACTGATGATGTTTCTATTTTATTATATTGTTACATTACCTGCTGTGAGCTGGCTCAGCTGGTATTTCAGCAACTGATCTTCTATCAGGAATGCCTCTAAGGCAAATGAGATTTTTAGGAAATAATTATTAGTTGAATATCCTTGCAGTTTGGAAATCAATAATCTGACAAAAATGAGAACTGTAAGTTATAACTCTTGGAATAGGTGAGGATTTACCAGTTTAAAAAATTAAGCTAGGAAGTTTACATATATTAACTTTAGGAGATGGAGGGCAGTTATTTAACTCAGTTTATAGATACTAGAAACTGAAACTCAGAAAGTTTAAAAGACACAGAAATTAGGTGGCTGACCCAGAATGTGAACCTGGATGGTTCTCCCACTAAGCATACACTGTTTGCCTTTCCATTAGATACTAAACTCCACTCCAACCAATAGCCCCCGTGAACTGCTTCCAGGAGCACAGACATATCTTCATTCATGTGTCCTTGAGCAATGATTTTAGGTAGAATGTGCTGTTCTCCTTCATCTTCTTCTTCAACATCCTGCTCACACTGCTTCTGGAGTATTCTGTCCTTCTGTCCCTGTTGGAATTAAAATTTCGGTACCACTTGTCTGTTCTGTAACACAGTCAGGTCCTTGTATTGCTTCTTCTCCTGACAGATCAAACTCTCTGATAACAAGTATCGTCTTATCTGTCTCTAGATCCCTGCACTACTCAGAAGTTACCTGATAAATATTGGTGGAACCAAATTGAAATGTGTGCCTTTCATTCTTTCAAACACACCTTACAAAACCAAATCTTTTGAAAGGTCATACTATGTTCCTTGAGAAGAGTGATGGTTTCTGGAAACTTTCCAAAATACGCAGAAAAGCACTTCTCCAATAAAAGTGGTTGATGAGATTAGCTTCCCTATCATTACAGCACATGTAATTGCCCTAGAGAAATGACCACACCCTGAAAAAGTAATTCCAAATGACCTTGTTCTAACAATTGTCAGATGGTACTCAAATAAATTTATTTATAAATAGAAAAAGTACAACTGATAAGACTGTGTCAAAGAAGAGAAGCTTGAATATATAACAGTTATTTTAAAAACATGGTTTAAAATAAATGCTTTTAAATAAAATACATACTAAATAACATTAAAGATCAAATAGAACTTCCATCATACCAAACATTTGATAAGAGACACGTTACAGGAGTGTGATGACTCAGGTCTGCTCTCAAAAGGGCAGGCAGAGGGTTGCATATTGTGGAATTTCCTCTGACATAATACAAGAATGAGGGTGCATATTCTCTGCTGCTCTGAATAATATAAAAAGCCACAGAAGCTCTCCATCCAACACAAGTCCTCTGGGACAGCAGAGCTCACAAGCCTCTGGGACAGGAGCCAAGAAGAAACCAGAACGAAAGCACCTTGCGTCAATATGACTTCCAAGCTGGCTGTTGTTCTCTTAGCAGCTGTTATGCTTTCTGCAGCTCTTTGTGAAGGTAAGCACGCCTTTCTGATCTGCGAGTTTTCCTGTGTCTGAATGTGATCCTCAGAATGCAAGATTATCCTTCCTGCTTTAATAACTAACATTCTTCTTATTCAAGAAAAGGAAATAGTATTTACAGTCATTTAGTGCTCACTTGAAATTTCAACTGTTTAGGCTTGATCTATACAACACTTAGAAAAGTAGAAAGTTTGATTAACATAGGCATTCTGTTCCTTTCATTCATACTCTGTAGTATGCATACATTTAATATAAATCTATAACTTAGAGTGTATCTTATCAGGGGCTACGATTACCCATGTTATTATTAACTAATATCGAGTATGGGAACTGGTAATTTTACTCCATGTGCTGTTTTAGTGACCAACTTCAGACAACTATCAATTCCTATTTGGTTTAAAGACAATCTGACAAATTATAAGCCTTTTGGGATCCTTCTTATAAAACAAATACAGTTAGAAATATTCATAGCATGTAGTTTCTATATTTTTTCTTTTCTGTCGAGCATTAAGGATTTCTTCAAGATATGAAATCTCTTTGTGTAACTTATCTATTTTTATTAACTTTTTCTGAGGCCAATTTCTGTGTTGTTGAACCTTAGTTTACATACTGTAGGTAACATTGTGGCATCATGGAAGATTGCACAATACTGAGTAGAAGAAAAAGTACCATGAGATTGCCAACATTTCACAAAGGCAACTCCAAGTCTTTATGCAGGAAGTCAATCAGTGATGTCATTAATGTCAGTGTTTTATTTTATATTGTTTTTTAAAGAAAGATCTAGAACATGAGCAGAGGAGATGGGCATAGGGAGAGAAAGAGAGAATTGCAAGCAGGTTCCACGCTCAGCGTGGAGCCTGACCTAGAGCTCAATCTTATGGTCCTGGGATCATGACCTGAGCCAAAATCAAGAGTTGGACGATCAACCAGCTGAGCCACCCAAGAGCCTCCACATTTTTTAAAATTGAATTTAGGAGTTAGGAGAATATCCAGGCTTCCACTTCAAGAATGAGTTTGCTAAAGATGAGATGTTTACCAAACATCCAGTCACCAAATGATCAGGTTGGAATTAAGGAGTAAGTAGCCAGCAGAGCTGTACCTGGGTTGAAATTAATCCTTAATTGTTTTCATTTTTTTTTTCATAGCTGCAGTTCTGTCAAGAATGAGTTCAGAACTTCGATGCCAGTGCATAAAAACTCATTCCACACCTTTCCATCCGAAATTTATCAAAGAACTGACAGTGATTGACAGTGGCCCACACTGTGAAAACTCAGAAATCATGTAAGTACTTTAGAAACGGATTAGATATTTTACTTCTGCAAACCTATAATTGAAGAAGGTGGAAGTATCCCACAAAATTCTAGGTACAGGAATACAGCAATGGGCAAGACAGGAAAGAAAGATTCTTTGTCTCCATGACAGTTTAATATGGTACCTCTCATGCCTTATGGCTAAAGATGACTTGGACTCAGATTTTATGCCTGTACTTCAGGAACCATGACTTGAATTGACAAAGGAATGCCTGAAACCCACTAAATACTGATTCAATCATATCTCTCTCATTTCAGTGTAAAGCTCACCAATGAAAAAGAGGTGTGCCTGGACCCCAAGGAAAGATGGGTGCAGAAGGTTGTGGAGATATTTTTGAAGAAGTAAGTTGTATGTGTGTGTGTGCATTTTTTAAATTTAGATTTTTCATTTATCCTGAGACATACAGTCAAAACGTTAGCCTCTAAGTTCCTGTGTCTGCTGGAAGACTACTCTTTATGTCTGCCTCTTTGATTTAACAACAACAACAACAAAATAGCCGCAATAGTGAGTTTGTTGTATTCAAGACTCGGAAGATCATCCATCTCAGTTTGCTTGGGAAAGTCTGGCCTTAAAATGCCTGTGCCATTTATCATTAGTATGTTTCCCTTTCATTCTCAGAAAGGTCCTGAGACCCTTAGATGATAACTTATCTGGTCTTTCTACTCACAGTTGAAAATTAGGACTTTTCTAACACATGAATATCTAGGATTGTATTAATTTCCATGGTAAATACACTGTCAAGAAACCATACTTTTCCTTATTGGCATACTGTTAGTTTGCCAAATTTTTCATTTAATTTTATTTCTTTTCAGAGCTGAGAAACAAAATTCATGAAACAAACAACCACGTTCTCCATGGTTTCCAAGAATTCTTCAGTAAAGAGGCCAATGAAACTTCAAGCAAACATATTTACTTCAGCTTTTCATATAGTGTGTGGGTCTGGTATAGGGTTCCCAGATAAAACAGAGTGTGCCCCATTAGATCTGAAGATGAAGTAAAACAATGAGTGGTTTTATTTCAAAGTCCGATTCCATTGTCCCATACAATATCCAGACTCACTTATATTTAAAACGTTATTTATTGTGTACCGCAAATTTAACTGGAAATCCTGGATATATTTTGTAGTTATTGTTACATCTTTCAACCTCAGCCTGCCGGCCAGGGCGTGTGAGTCCCTGTCCTTGGTTCCTTATTTATTGCTCAACTGGAGAAAGAGTATCAGTCATCATCCTGCCTCACAGAGATGTGAGGACATGTGGAAGCACTTTAACTTTTTCTCATGTCATGCAAATGATGTACAGGTGAAACTTGTTTGCCTATTTATTATTTATATATTTATTTAAGAAAAAAATAAGGGGATCTCTGTGTATAAATTGGGAAAGGAAGCATTGTTGGTAGGATAGTATAATGACAAGAGTGAATTTTTATTTATGTTGGTATTAAATGCTGTTCTATTAGGGAACTGTTTTGACGCAGGTTACCAGATTTAGCAAAATTGAAAACAAATAAGAGGTCCAATTAATTTTTATTTCAGATAAAAAATGAATTATTTATTAGTATGTGTATATTATCATTTATCTGAACTTGTGATTGAACTAGCAATCCTATTTTTATACTCCTAACCCTGTTCTGTCACTGCCTGCCCTGTGCTGTGCTGTGTTGAATCATCAGAATCCCGAATTAGAACTGTTTCTCAAAGCAGCAAAACTTCAACAGGCAAAATTAACAAAGAAATTTCTTGCTACTTAAAACTTATTATGTACAGATGGATTCTTCTAATTGTATTTAAGTTATTGTGTTTTTAAACACTGACTTTATTTTTTGACTTGAAGATACTTTTATGTATTCTCAAAGAGGCTTTTTTTCTATTGTTTTTGTTGGTGTGGAAATCTAAGTGTAACTATAAAGCAACTTAAAATAAAACTTATTATCCAAAAAAAAAGTCATTAAGTGTTTGTCTTTCTTTAGTAGTTTTAAAAGTTATTGTTTTATGTCTTTTTATATTAAAAATAATATTTTGCGTTAAAAAACATAAATGCTTGTGGTGCCTGCGTGTCTCAGTCGGTTAAGCATCTGACTTTGGCTCAGGTCATGATCTTCTGGTTCATGGGTTTGAGCCCCACGTAGGGCTCTGTGTTGACAGCTAGGAACCTGGAGCCTGCTTCAGATCCTGTCTCCTCCCTTTGCTCCACCCCCCCCCCCAATCTCGTGCTTTTCTCTCTCTCTCTGTCTCAAAAGTAAACATTAAAAAATTAAAAACAAAAACAAAAACTTAAAAAAAAATTTTTTAATGTTGTATTTATTTCTGAGAGAGAGAGAAAGAGAGAGAGAGAGAGCATGAGCAGGAGAGGGTCAGAGAGAGAGGGAGACACAGAATCTGAAACAGGCTCCACGCTCTGAGCTACCTGTCAGCACAGAGCCCGATGCAGGGCTCAAACCCACAAACCGTGAGATCATGACCTGAGCAAAAGTCGGACGCTTAACTGACTGAGCCACCCAGGCGCCTCCCCCAAAAAACAAAAACTTAAATGCTTCCTCTTAGCATTTTGCATATTATGTGGAAAATTACAAACCTTTGTAAGAAAACAAATTTTGTCCAGAGATGGGTTATAAACAATAGTCTCTTCCATAGAATAATGGAAATATTCTCAACTCCCCATTGTATCCCATTTTGCTAATAAGGCTGACTTCAGATTTTTAGCTAACCAACCCAGGTGTCTGTAAACCTTAGCACAGCCGAGTACTCAGTGAAAGTGCTCAGTGTAAGAGGGAAGAGGATACTCGTTACAAAACACTTCTTAGCTAATTGAGAAGTAAAACTGACACATATGAGATACAGAAGATTAAATACGATCAAAGACCAAACATATTTGAAAATAAGTCAACCAAACCAATTAAAAGTAAAAATACAATAATTTGACTAAAATACTCAGTGGAGAAGTTTTATAACAGAATAGACACTGCTGAAAAGAACATTTGAGCTCCAGGAACAAAAACCAAAGAATTTTATCTGGAATTCATATCTGAGAATTAAAGAGGCATTAACAGGAAAAAAATAATGAAAACCATAGCAGATGGGGGATAAGATCTTACAAATATCTAGTTGGAGTTTCACAGGTAAAGGAGAGAGGAAAGGGTGAGACACAACATTGAAAGTGACAATGTCAATGGCTGACACCTTGCCACAAATGATGAAAAATAACAATCCACAGCTTTAGGAAATTCAACTTACCAATGCCTAGCTTTACGTTTCTACTCAAAAGAGAAGGATCTTAGAACTTTGATTCACATTTATCTACCTCCTAGCTCATTTGCTATTGCTTTTGGGTATTTTAGGCCCACTTTCTATGAAAGCTCCACAATGTGGAATGAAGAAGAGTCTTCTATTTTTTCACACGTTGGTTCACACTGCAACTTTTCCTGTCATCTTCTCTTCACAACTCCTCAGGTACCTGCAGCTGCCATTCTCTTTGTGGGTCACCAATACCTGTGGAGTGGAGCCCCAAGTCCATTTTTTCTCCCTTCTGATTCCCAATATACTTGAGCACAAAAGTGTGCAGAATAATAGCACCAATAAAAGATTTATGAGTAATACGCAAGAGACGGCCAACTGGAAATTCAACCCTGGTACTCACTGTTCCTAAAAACATTGTTTCCTCCTCAAGGTGATTTCCCCTTGCCTGTATTTCTTCTCAGACCATGTTAGGGATCCTCTTCTTCCCCGGAGATCTGCCTAAGTTTCATTTCCACATTCTCCTCTTTGGATTCAAGTTCCTTTGTCCTACTATCCTTTGCAGTCTTTTATTTGGTAGATCTCATCCGCAGGGACTAAAACAGATTAATGTACAAGTTTAGCAAAATGTTTATAGGAAACATATAGGACTTTTCAGAAGCATATAGCAAAGAGTCATCTTACCTAACTAGACTATGCTTCCCTGAGAAAATCTAAACTAGAGACTGAAGGATGAGGAGGAGTTAGCCACACAAAGGGAAGAAGGATATGTGGGGAAGGCTGGTCTAGACATCAGGGGAGAAGTAATTTGTAGGCAAAAGCATGACACAAATTGAGAAGTGAAAGAATTTCAATGTGGCTGGAGTTTAGCATGAAGCAGAACAAGTCCTAACAGATAAAGCTATGCTAAATGGGCTATGAAATGTCTAAGGGGCTTAGATTTGGAATTGAAACCTTCTGACAGATTCCAATTACCCTCATTTTAAATTGCAAACATTATAGGCCCTCCTTCTTCTTCAGTCTCTTTCTAAAAGGAAGTGAGAAGCCATAAAAACAACTCAAAAGTCTGATCTTGGGGGACTTTTAATGCCATTTGTATTATTATTTTTATTAGAGGCAATAATAAAGTGTTCACCTTAAAATTGCATTAATTGTAAAATACATACATAGTACATACAACAAACAAAATCAACTAATTTTCATAATTGCTGATTTGTTTGTTGCATCAAGATATGTTTGTTGCAAAAATGCATCAAGAAATAGATTCATAGTTTAAAGTTGCCTAAGCAGAATCTTTTATTCTCAAGATTTTGGCAGATAAGTAGACAATGTGAATCAAAGAACTCCCAGCCTTACAAGAAACCTTTTACTGTGTTAAGTACACAACTTTAATATGATCAGTGTTTGACCCTGAAAGCAAGGTGAAGCCATCTGCACCAATCTGATATCTCTTAATAATGACTACTTCTTTAAAAATCTACTTCCTAATTTCATCTTTCTTGTTTTTAAAATACACTGATGGGTTTATCCACTTTCGCATCTATGTTGTGACACCAAAATATTTCACCAAAAAGGCAATTCATGGATCAAACTGGAGAATAGGCATCGTGTAAACAAGCCAAAAAGGAAAAATGAAAAAGAATAAGAGAAAGTATGAGAGTGCAAGAATGGAGAGAAGGAAAAGCCAGTTTCAATTTGCTGAACTGAAAATTTTCACTTTATTTTGCATAAGTGATATTAGCAAAGTTATGTATATAGACATGGATTTTATTGAGACAGGCTCAGACACAAACTTGAACATGAGCTCTATTACTCCATCACTTTAATTCATTTATGTGGAATACAAATTATAAGTCTAATTTTACTAAGTAGAAACATGAGTGTAAATATACAGACATGCATAAAATAAAAAGATATGGAGAGATAAGAATAAAGTGCTCACCTTAAAACTGCATTAATTGTAAAACACTATAATACATACTACATTGTATGTACAACATACAAAATCAAGTAAGTTTTTCAATTGCTGTTTGTTTGCTAGAAATGCACCACATAGGTTCAAGCTAACTAAGCAAAATCTTTTATTATCAAGATTGTGGTAAATAAGTTGATAGTAATTTTTTATTATAATACATCTACTTTGCCATCCAGCCTAGGTTTGAAAACTTCAGAAGAAAAGATGAAAAAAAATTTAAATTTTGCTTGTGGCAGTAATATAGCAAACCAAAAATTGCTTAAGACTGTATTAACTCTGCAATAATGAAAGAAAGCTTAAGAAACAATAATTTCTCCATTACTTACTTAAAAAGACAACAGACAGCAATTGCTTCAAGTTTAGCAACCATCAGCTGAATTTGCAGAGATCACAGACAACAGATAGGGAAATTTTCAGTGTAACAAAGTAAATACAAGGCTATTTCTTCCCACAAGATTTACAGATGGAGCAATCAGGAATTCTCCAGAAGATCACTTAAAGGTCAAAGAACCCAACGCTCAGTGAGTGAAGAAAGTGAGCTTTCTACACTTTTTGCATTCCCATAGATAAAAATCAAGTTGGATAAATATTATTGTTACAAGACTTTATAACATGATTTAGTTAGATGATGTTGGAAAATTAAGATGAGAAAACATTTGCAGATGATTATTTACATATAAAGTTTGCTTCAGACCTACCTAGAGGAATGTTCTTTTTTTTTTTTTTTTTTTTTTAATGTTTTATTTATTTCTAGGAGAGAGAGAGAGAGACAGCGTGAGCAGGGGAGGGTCAGAGAGAGAGGGAGTCACAGACTGAAACAGGCTCCAGGCCCTGAGCTGGCAGTCAGCACAGAGCCTGAAGCGGGGCTCAAATCCACGAACCACGAGATCATGACCTAAGCGAAAGTCTGACGCTTAACCGACTAAGCCACCCAGTCGCCCCACCTAGAGGAATGTTCTAATCACTCTGTAAAAATCATGGTGCCTGGGCTAAAGATGAGTTTTAATGTATCTAATAAGTCTGTTTCATAGGGCATGATTTAGGTCATGTTTTAATCAAGTTACGATGCAGTTCTTTCCACTGTCTGCATCTTAAGTTAATCTGCCATTCATCCTATGCTA